GAGTGGGCTACAGGGATCACACAACTCTCTTGTTACACTAGTTCCACTGACTGCCTATTAGCTTCCAAACACAATTCAAAGTGCTAGTTTTGACCTATAAAGCCCTAAACGGCTCTGTCCGAATGTCTCTCTCCTTATGAACTATGACGGACTTTTAGATCATCTGGGGAGGCCCTGCTCTCGGTCACACCACCATCACAGTCACGTTTGATGGGGATGAGAGACAGGACCTTCTCCATGGTGGCCCCTCGGCTTTGGAACTCCCTCCCTAAAGAGGTTAAATCTGCCCCCTTCCGCCTGACTTTTCGCAAGACATTTAAGACTTGGCTATGGAGGCGTTTGCAGAATAGACGGTTATTATTGGCTTAGATGAGATCGTATGGATCACATTTTTGGACTGATTTGGAGCACGTTTTAAACTTGGCATACTGTTTTTATATGTATATTTATTACCATTTTATGTAATTGTGTATTTTATTGGTGTTTTTTATATTGTTGGAAGCCACCCCGAGGCCCTCTTTGGAGGTTGAGAATAGGGATACAAATGTTCTAAATAAATAAATAAATAAATACTGTTTAAACTTGGAATTGAGTGTGGTGGTTGAGGACAGAGGTGTGCTTCCCGCCCTGAAGTGCAACACTGCATGGAAGTGTGAAAACTGAGAGGGAAAACTGTATATTTCTGCATGGCAGAAGGTTGGACTGAATGATCCTTATGGTCTCATCCAACTCTATGATTCTATGGATTTCAATGACCCATCACATTTAGGCTTAAAACCAAGATAGACACATCATTGTACAACTGATATAACTACTGTAGTTGGCATATGCCATTCAAAAATTATATGAATTTATTTTTATTTAAATCATTTTATTCCACCCTTCTCATCTATTTTGTGCTACTCAAGACAGTTTACAACATCTATAATTACAATTCAAAAAGAAAAGACAATAATACAGAAGGCAGTTGGAAAATCATTCCAGGTAGAGAAATTCAATCCAAGAAGCCACGGTCCTAAATCTGCAGAACCTGAGCAGGGCAGATGATGAAAGGGCAGTGTATGGTAGGATAGTGGTTGTGTATGTGTTAATCATATGTGGATGCTTTTCTTTAAGAGTGAAACAAGCCACCAAATGGTTCATTCATCGACTAGATCTAAGGTTCATTACATATTAATGGCTATATGATTTGTTATGGGAGTAGTTTTTCCTACAAAAAATAAAGGTAATGAAAGTTAATGTTGATGAATATTTTTTAAATGAAGCTAAAGGTGTTAAGAGGCATTTTTGATAAAATCAATTTTGCAGTAGATGAAAGTATTTCATTTTTGATATAACTGCAGAATTAAAAACTAACTGCTCCTGCCTTTACTGCTATGGGCTGTGTCACAATAAAAGTGAGAAATGTTTTGTCGAAGGCTTTCATGGCCGAAATCACTGGGTTGTTGTAGGTTTTTTCAGGCTATATGGCCATGTTCTAGAGGCATTCTCTCCTGACGTTTTGCCTGCATCTATTGCAAGCATCCTCAGAGGTAGTGAGGTCTATTGGAACTAGGAAAATTCCTAGTTCCAACAGACCAATTTTCCTAGTTCCAACAGACCTCACTAACTCTGAGGATGCTTGTCATAGATGCAGGCGAAATGTCAGGAAATAATGCCTCTAGAACGTGGCCATAAAGCCCGAAAAAACATACAACAAACAAAGTGAGAAACGTTCAGAACTGGAGGTCAGAAGTCTGCAATGACAGTAAAAGGGGCAGCACAACTGAAAGAACGTTCAAGGGAGTAGCCACTGCAGGCAAAAGTCAACATAACACTAGGTTGTACAAAATTATTTTTGCTTTGACGTGGAGATGTCAAAATAGATTTGCAGTATTTACTGTACAACAGTGAATTGTGTCAGCCTCCAAGCCATTTTAGCACATCTACATTCAAGGAAGGGCTATAAAAAGTACATTCACACTGCTAAGGCTGAGCTCCTTCAGAGGAAAGAAATGCACACTTTGGTATGTTAGGGTATGCTGTGTAGTATGTAGATCAAGCCAAACACAAAAGGCATACTAAAGAAGGCAAAGACAAAAATCGCATGGTCTAGGTTTGCGTATGTTTTTGCAATAGAGTATTTATAAACTGTTACATAATTTTTGTGGCTGTCAGAAAAATTGCAGTTTAACTTGTATAAATATGCATTAAACTGACTTTTTTTGTTCTTGGAAAACCTAACTTGGTATATCCTTGCCTGAGTTCCACAGAATTCTGGAAATTGATTTGATGAGTTATTTTATATATAGTGGATGCTAGCTGAATAAGCTGATCTCGCTCTGTAATCAGGCTTTGCAAAGTGGCTGTTTCAAGCAGCAAAATTGTGTCAGTGTAAGATTTAAGAACATACTTCTTTTGATCAGACCAAAGGCCTCTCTAGTCCAACATTCTGTTGATATAGTGGTTTATGGGAAGCTTGCCAGAAACATGTGATTAGAACTGCCTCAATGTTTTGTACTCCACAGCAATAGATGTACAGAGGCATATTGTCTCTGATACTAGAGGTGACATACAGCTGTCCTAATCAGTAGTCATCCATGGCCCAGTCTTCTATATATTTTTCTAGTCCCCTTTAAAGTCAGTGAAGTTGTCAGTGAAACCCATTGTCTTTATGTACTATGAAGAAATATGTATACTCTCCCACCATTTCCTTTTAAGTAGATAACTCTCGGTCTTGTATTGTGAGAAAGAGTTCTCTCAGCCTACTTTCTCCACACCATGCTTAATTTTATTCAATCTCAATCATGTTTGGGTTGCTGTGTTTTTCCGGGCTGTATGGCTATGTTCCAGAAGCATTCTTTCCTGACATTTCACCCACATCTATGGCAAGTATCATCATGAGTTGTGTTGGAAACTAGACAAGTGAAGTTTATATATCTGTGGAATGTCCAGGGTGGGAGAAAGAACGCTTGTCTGCTTGAAGCAAGTATGAATGTTGCAGTTGGCCACCTTTTGCATTGCATAGCAACATTCACATTTGTCTCAAGCAGACAAGAGTTTTTTCTCCCACCCTGGACATTCCACAGATATGTAAACCTCACTTGCCTAGTTTTCAACAGACCTCACAACGTCTGAGGATGCATGCCACAGATGTTGGTGAAACTTCAGGAGAGAACGCTTCTGGAACATAGCCATATAGCGCGGAAAACTCACAGCGACCCAGTGATTCTGATCATGAAAGCCTTCGACAACACATCAATCATGTTTTCTGTTTCTTGCATTCTTTTGGAGTTCAATATCCTTCAAGGTTGCAACCTTTCCTCTGAGCTTTATTACTTCAATCTCTTAATCATTTGGTCTCCCTCTTCTAGATCTTTTTCTATATATCTATATCATCCTTTTAAAGTTACAATGACCAGAGCTGTACACCTTCATACAAACGATGTTACAGTAAGGATTTATGTAAGAATAGTATTATATTGACATTTTATTTCCTATTCCCTTTACAGTTATGCCAAATGTGGACGTGACATTTTTACAGCAGCCACGCAATGGGACTGGGTGTTCACAGACCAAGGTTGCATTCTTGGCCACTCACTACCATATAACATCTCATAAGAATATATAAGAAGTTGGGATTATTTGACCCAATATGAAACACTTTACCAATAAGGGAGAAAGGATGGGAGGGTAGAGCCGAGTCATAAATCCTTTCTCCCTTATTGATTGTAGCAGCATTTTTGTGGTTCCTGTGTTGTAATGTGCAAGTCCTGATTAGAGCTCTACACTGAGATATTCATTTAAAAAAATCAGCACCTTCATTATAGACTTTGCTCTGCTTCAGATCTCTTGTCAAACGCCAACAATCCCAGCCACCCTAGGTTTAGATCATGTACAAATACAATAAAGTGCTGCACTGGGTAAATGGAGCACTTAAGGCTATGGTGTGCTACAGCACTAATAAGCATGTATGCATAGCATATACTAGTACACAACTCCCAAGATATGTATTTGAAATAAATAAATAAAAGCAAATTGAAGGGATATTCCAAATACTGCAGGCAAATTTACAGCAAGCAGTTAACATAATTGAGCAACAGGGTTCTGATCGGCTCATAGCTTCAAGTTAAGTAGAGGCAGTAGTCTAACTTCTACTGCCCTGTCACTAGTATTGAAAGATCACAGTCCATGTCCTTGGCTTATGTACATGGACTGGGATAGGGACTTCAGTTTTTTGGCATCAAGCGTAAAAATGTCTGCGCTAGCCTACTGATAGATACGATAGATAGACAGACAGACAGACAGACAGACAGACAGACAGACAGACGCCTTGAGTCCCCTCCGGGTTGAGAAAGGCGGGGTAGAAATGTAATAAATAAATAAATAAGTTTGTACTGATTGAGTAGAGACAATACATTATCGGAATAAGTTGAGTCCTTCATCATACCAGGTGCACCAAGATACAACATTGTTCACATCTGGATGTTGGGTCGTCCATTAAGGAGGTTGTAATCCATGCTTGCAAAAGTCTTTAGTCTCAATCACATCATAGACATTATATTTTCAATGCACAGTGTATTCTTTTGTTATCTGAATTGAGATTTCCTTCTTTTAACTCTTTTGGAGAGAACACAGATGTTCTGCTCAGTACCATCCCGTTCAAAGGCCTTTGCACATATGTATATGACAGTATCCATGTATGCCACATCTGTTCAAATCTAGATCATGGTGTGGCTTTCTGACAGGATGGAAATAAGAAAAAAGATATGCTGGAAGATGCCATGGCAGAGCCTGTACATTAATTTGTTGTTGAATTTTCTGCACAATTCAGTAGTGCCTAGTTTTCTTAACATGGATTATATCCCTTTTCCAGTGTTTGCTTGTTTAAAGACATCCTTACATTAGTGGATCAATATACATAAATGTTTCCCGCTTGCCGTTCCTAATGCCTAAATTAAACGAAAAAACTTTATAACTGATTTATAACAGTCCAGCCGCACTAATAGTAGAAGACTTACTTTAATGGGTCAAGTCTCAACAAATGAGAAGATGCTTTCATTACATAGTCAAGGTCCGATTTCGACATAAGGTTTTCCCCCAGGTAACAATATCTGTGAAAGAATACATGTGAAAAAATTATGTAGGAAATATGTCTCAAAATCCATGTGGATTTTGCACTGAGGAAAAGAAATGATAGGAGTGAGCAACAGTCTTAGCTTTTGAAATCCCACGTAATGTTTTCACAGATATTTTGTTTTACTTTTTTTTTCTGCAAAGGAAAAACACTGCTTTGAACAGAAGTGCCAGTGGCGTATAGTTTAATTATAATGGTCACCAGCTCTTTTTCCACGTCAGATATATCACATTTGTTGAAAAATGTGAATGGAAAAGAAAAGATTTTGCGAAACAGCTGGGTTGAGACATGTTGATACTGAACTTATCAGTGGATTAGAGCTTGATGATATCTGGCACTCACTAATAACAGTACTCAGTGTAGAGCAGTGTTCCAACCTGTGGGTCTTCAGGTGTTTTGGCCTGCAAGTCCCAGAAATCTCAACCAGTTTGCCAGCTGTTAGGATTTCTGGGAGTTGAAGGCCCAAACATCTAGGGACCCACAGATTGAGAACTACTGGAGGAAAAAGACAGCCCATATATTAATAGTTAGTAAGGAAATGGACCTAAGCTTTCAATTGTAGGCGGTGTGGATTTCAATTTTGTGTGCTGAAAGTTCAAACTTTGAGGAGACCTTTGATTCTTCATTATTGCAAAAATGTTTCACTTTGACATGCAATTAGAATTATGATCACTAGTCATTTTAAATAGCTGTAGGTAACATGCATTGGACTACCATGGACATATGAATCCAGTAAAATTAAATTTTTGCTATATGAAATGTTCCATTAAACCTGAAGATGTTTCTTTTACTGACCCTAACCCTAACCATTTACACTAACCCTAACCTTTTAAAAATTATTTTCACTGTCCTTTTCTTTTCCATGTATTTAATTGAATGTTATCCCTCCTTCCACAAAAGCTCCACTTACTATATTGTTTGGTTTTCTTCTTCCTCCTCCTCTTTTTAAATTCCTTCTTCCTGCTACTGTTTTGAAAATCAATAACTCATTTAGAAAACTGCTTTTATGAGATTTGTAATTAATAAGTTGAAGAGGTGAGTGCATTTTCATCAGCACAAATACTTCTTTCAGTGTTTCTAATAGTGTTTAATCCAGGTCATTTCCATGTGGAAAGAATTCCAGTATATGTCAGCTATTTCAACAATGCTGATATCCGTGACTACATTCATGTAGTTAGAGGCCATGAATGTGAGGAGATATGTTCAGAATATTCAGAACCCAAATTTGGAAAAATAATAAACAAAAATCAGAGGAAAAAAACTTTCCAGGGATTAAACCACTTCTTTGCTAGAAAACAAACAGCCCTCCAACTTTGAGCAGAGTCAAGGAGAATGAAATGGTGGACAGCCGTCCCTCCACATTTGTGATTTTGATTATGTACTGATTTGATTGCAATATTTTCTCTGTGTGTAACTAGATCCTTCAGTGTAACTGTGGTCAGTTTCTTCATTCATGCTGAAAGACCTAGAGATTTTTAGAGACAGCACTTTCTAGGAATCTCTAGATCCTCCAGTGCATTTCTTTGATGAGCTTCCAGTGAAGGTTCACCATAGAGTCATGTTGGAAGCCCTTGACATCCCTAAATTATATTATTTCCACCTAAAAATAACATAATTTTTTATTTCCAGTTTTTCACTTTCATGTGGATTCTGTGCCCCTAATCATAAGCAAATGTGAACCTATGATTGTATTTTGGTCTGGGAGCATGGCTGATTACCTGAACATTGAACACTGCTACAACATTTTATTGCTACTCCCATGTATAATCCTGCTTTTTCAAACTGGCACAAACTAAAACAATAACCACAGAATTGTTAACCTGACCATTTACTTAATGGAAAAAGTGAGTTTACTTAGTAAAGGGAAAGGTTTCCCCTGACATTAAGTCCAGTCATGTCTAACTTTGGGGGGTTGTATTCATCTCCATTTCTAAGCCAAAGAGCCGGCATTGTCTGTAGACACCTCCAAGGTCATGTGACCAGCATGACTGCATGGAGCGCCATTACCTTCCCACAGAAGCGGTATTGATCTACTCACATTTGCATGTTTTCGAACTGCTAGTTTAAGAGAAGCTGAGGCTAACAGCAGGAGCTCATTTCACTCCTCAGATTCGAAATGCCGACCTTTCGGTCAGCAAGCTCAGTAGCTCAGCAGTTTAACCCACTGCACCACCAGGGGGTCCTTAAGAGATTACTTAAATACTCTATTTATACATTAATATATTTAAAATATCATCCTAAATACGAACTCTTTAGTTGAACTTGGTTTAATTTGTGATTTAATAAACAGTCAGCCTTCTGAGTCAGGCACCCATAGCTTGAAAATACTAAAACAAACATATCTATAAAGCAAACCTTAATTTTCTCATTTCATTTACTATACCACTGAATATAATAGAACGAGCATCCATGAATTCTGATATTCACTAGAAATCCTGGGAACCAATTCCTGCCGATACTCATTCCTGCAGGTACTATGTAACAAATTTAAGCTGTGTTTTTGCATTGGCCACATGAAACATGTACTTCTGAGGGGATTCTTAAATTTAAGTTTAATGCATTGCAAATCAGTTCACACAAACTAAATAAACAACTGCTGTTACTAAATCATGGAAATTAATTCCTCTTCCCTGAAGAAGTTTTGCTGTGAGCATGTGCCCTGTAAATAAAATTTCTGTTTTTGGTTGTGTGGGAAATGCTGATTATAGATCAGTGTTTCTCAACCTGTGGGTACCCAGATGTTTTGATCTTCAACTCCCAGAAATCCTAATAGCTGGTAAACTGGCTGGGATTTCTGGGAATTGTAGGCCAAAACACCTGGGGACCCACAGGTTGAGAACCACTGTTATAGATCATCTGATTTTTACAATCAGTCACTTTGTTGTCATATTTGAGTCTTATAATCTGAAGGCTGCCTGTTCCTTTCTTTAGAAATACAGGCTACCTGTTTGTAAGAAAAAAATCTTATATAACAAAAGGCAATCCTATAATTATTATTTTCCATTTTAAAAAGCAGGGGGAAAGACCCAGTCAAACAATGTTAGAAAACAATGTATTGTGTTCCTTATAAGAAATAGTTCCTCAAATCCTTCTTTCAGTATCCCTTGAAAGGATCTTGGGGATTCAAATGCTGTAGTCCCAAAGTGAAAGAGAGAAATTAGCATGTTCTGAATAATACTGGTCTTCAGAATTGGGGAAAATCTATCCCAACTATTTATTGTGTGAATATAAAGACCAGAGATGGGGAATAGAAAGTTCAGCAATGGGGAATAGAAGCAAACCTATAGCTGCTATTGCTCTTCTCACTATAGTGTATTTTCATCTTTAGGATATTAGTATTTCATCGGACATTAGACTGAGGATGGATAAATTGGCTTTAAAAAAAGAGAGACAACTGGAGGATTATTTTAATAACCCTAGTGTGCTGATATTGAACACAAACACTATCAAAATCATTCAAGGTTTCCAGTGGTTTTGTGAGAAGAAGTCAATGCCACCTTCTGCACTTATGAACTTGAAGAATCAATTGTGTGTTTTGCTGTGGTTTAGTTATTTTAAAGACATAATAATGGAAGGAACATAAGTATTTGTTTACAATTGGTTTGTAAACTAATGTTCTCATCCAAGGCTTGTAAAATATAAAATATAAAATGGTCTGCTTTTCTAGAAAAATAGTTTGACTGAATTCCCATCAAACATAAAAATCACTGGTAGTTTCAACTAGAATGCACTGTTTGAATTAGTGACTCCCCGTAAGTAAACATGTATGTAAATTCAACAGATCTACACTAGTTAGGATGCAGCAGTTGCATTTAGGCTGCTAAATGCTGACAGTCGAACATTCTCAGAAGACAAGGAGTCTAATTAATCCGTTTTGGTATTTGTGACAATAATGATGAAACAGAATTGTGTGAAATTCACATTTCTAAGATATGTTTTAGTACCGTGTGTTTATCTGGAAAATAACGATTTTGAGTCCAGCTGCACTATAAATTGCCAGACAGCAAACATGCATGGTGTTGATCTGTTGCATTTTAAACATATTTTGACATATCTAGGAGCACAGTTGCAAAGTGATTCTATTTCTTATATATGGGGTGAAGTGTTTTCTTTTTAGCTCACAGTCAACCAATCAGACAACCACCTAAAGGTTATAGGGGAGAAGGGTTTGATATAGGCCCAGATTGACTCTTGACCCAATGCCAGTGGACCAGGAGACTTAAATGTGGGTCTCTACCCCATGATGTCACATCCGCTAGTGATATTGGATGGGCCAGTAATGCCTGGGCCTCTAGTAATATTGGATGGGCCTTCCCCAGATATATATTTACACTTTCAAAACATCTGACATGGTGTAGTGGCTTGAGTGTTGGAATATAACTGTGGAGTCCATGGTTAAAATCCCTACTGAACCATTGGAAGCTGCTGGGTGACCTTGGGCAAGTCGCTGTCTCTCAGCATCGGAGAAAATAAAAACTCAAAGGTGAGGTGTTCATCAGAAATTTGCTACCCTTTTGAATCACATCTTAAATATAAAGGCATGTAATTATGGTGGATGTCTGTTACTCGTTACTGCCTGTTTTAATTGGCTGCTTTGGAGTGTTACAAGTTCTGGCAGTAGACCAGCCACTGGAGGTTTCTGTGTACACATGCATTACATAACATGGGTATTCAAAGTTTTATACCTTGTTGGGGAGAAATATATGAGAGCATGGGTTGTCCCACAATTAGTCTTGTGTTTGGGGAATAGTAGCACACTTATAAAATGTGTGGGTACTGTTCCATTATCCGGGTGGAGGCAAAAAGAGGGCACTAGACAGAGAAGGATAGTCCATTTTATGGGGGGAGGGGGATTTGAAGGAGTAAAACTATTTTCGCCCATATGTATCTCTGAAGTGTTGAAACCATTCACTGAGATTAGTTTACTGTGGTTCACATCAGTCTTGGTTTCAACTTTGTTACTCTTACTTGGATATG